ATCATGTTGAAGTTGCTTCAGACCAGCAGCAGCTCTAATCTCTTCAACGCGCTCTAAGACGGTCTCTACATCCTTCCTTAAAGTATAGAAATCTGTAAGCAAATAAACAGTGAGAACAGTCCAACTTCATACTATTGTAAATGACATATAATGAGCCAAATACTCCACAAAACATTCACACTTCAGCAGAAGATAGCACAAAGATTTTGAGTGCTAGTCAGAAAATTGTGACGGCAGAAAGCTACTTCCCATCCACAAAATTTGAACTTCGAATTTCGATAAAAGTGAATTTCATTCAAAGATGACTAAAAAGAGCCCCTTCCCTACATGCGATTCAGAAGGAAGTTCCAGTGGAAATACTTTAAATGTGAAACTAAATTTCATTTAGAAAAATAAAAAACCTAGTTGGATTCTAAATACAAAAAGAACTACAATCAGACCAGTGCGGTGCATCCATATGCCAAAATACAGACACCTGACCCTACCAAAAACAAAGAAAACAGAGATTCGACTCTCTGCTTTTCCTGAGCCAAGGTCTATCGGAAACACCCTTTCTACCTTCACAAGATAGGGGTAAGGCTGCGTACACACTACCCTTCCCAGGCGGATTACACTGGGTCTGTTGTTGTTGTAGATTCGACTCTCCATTATTCATCTCCACCTTCTTAATCCATTTCAATTTTCAGACACTTTCTCGTTTTGCCACCCTCGCCAATCGTAATCCACCTACCTTAATTAAATTCATGTGTGACATCCTCTCTGTTATGAATGAGCCCCAGAATCTAGCTTTAGCACCCCCTACGTCGCCACCTTCAGATTAATATTACTAAGGTCCCTTGCATTCAATTTCGTTCAATTAGTTAACAATTCCCTTTCTTCCTGTGAAGGTTTGCTGGGAATATGGCAACGGTTCCAAAGCAATATTACAGTTGCAAACTTTTTTACCAAAGAAAGCTATGAATCCACCAAATTTTGATACTTATAATGTCAACGAAATGTAAAACTGATTACAAATATGACAATAGAACCGTCCATTTCCTTGATGTTGAACTTTTTTGCACAGGTTTCATGGATTACAGCTTGCCTCATTCTTCATATACAACCTTTTAACCCTCACTTCCTTTTTCCAGTAAGGAGTGGAGTATAAGATTATTATTTGGGGGGGGGGGGGGGGAATTGAGACAGGCTTCGGAACTACAGAAAAAAAACAAGGGGTCAGGATATACTTCACTGGTTAGCATTACTGGATATGTTTATTCGGGCAAGTTTGAAGGATTCTTGTCCACAGATACTTCAAGAGAGCGTATTAATCAAGACAATAAAAAAAAAAAGAGCGTATTAATCATATTTCAACTGATGAAAAATCTCAAGTTTTAAAGTAGCATAGTACGTGTGAATACGTAATGTCCTGCTAATAGGTAAGGTTTCAAGTTTTTAATTTCTTCTAGGCCATATTCTCATGATGTTACAAATGCACAGCCATGCAATCATTACATATGCAGAAGATACTGCAGAAGTAACTGCTAGAATCAGCTAAGCATAAATCCTTCATATAACACATTTTCTTTTGTTTCCACAGTTCAAACATTACATCTCGACTTAATAGTTTGGTCAAAATGCAGACAAGACACATAAAAACAAACTGCAAGAAGATCTAACAAAGTTCAGAATACACCTAAATCATTAATGTCATTATAACAACCCAATATAACCAGAATTTCTTATCAAATTTATTGAAAGAAAAACTCAACCATTCATTATACTATTTCTTCAAGGCACAAAAGACGACATTTTAGCATCATGGTAAGTAGTACAACTTTACCTTGCATGGCCCATTCACGCGTTTCAGTATTGCTAACTCCCACCTCAGGCGTTGCAAAAGAAACTGTTCCACCTTCAACTGAATTCATGAAAACACCAAACAGTAAGCAAAAATTTCTTTTCCTTTTTCCGGATAAGTACAAAATACTAACCAAATTAAAGGCCCCAAAAACAAGTATATTTGTCAAAAACAAGGTGACAGCCTAACAATTCAAGACTGACAGTTACAATTACTATTAAATTAAATAGCAAAAGGAGAATAAAATAAAAAAAAGAAGGAAGACCCACTAATTGCAGTGACCTTTTTGGAGTAACAAGCAGAAGAAAGAAGTAGATACCCTTTGGAGAGGAAATGGAAGGCAGAAATAAGTGAGTCTGTTGTGGAATTCTCAGTCTTCTCCCTGTATGTATTGCTGCAATTCGAACTGATGTTGGGTTTCTTCTGGTTAAGCTGTGGAATGGCTTCGAATATTGAGGCACTGAACTTTGAACCATACCCTCCATGGCTAAGCTGTGTCTCTTTGCCTAGCAAAAGGATAAGAGCTCTCGAATTCTTGTAGAACTTGGGACTAATCTATTATTTCCAAAACTTATGCTCTTTTTTCCCCGGCTGTGTTTAATCAGTACATTTACGGGTAAAAATTATTTACACCCTCTTAGAAATCAAACTCTTTCCTCAACTTTAAACTTTAAACGATACACATTCTCCTTTCTTATTTTTTGCGATATCTATTTTGTCTTTCACACCTTTTTATATTTTATAGAATATTTTTTAACCAAGTATTTTACCTATAGTTTAAAGTAGAACATTATAAGTAGAATATCTTTTTATAATTATTTTTAAAAATGGCGAAATGGCTCCGTGACCATTTAAACTTGTACGAGATTTTAAAGCCGATATTTAAACTTTGGATTTTCCCATTTTAGCACCTCAACTCAATCAATTGAGTATAAATAAACCCGCGTGTAACTCAATTGCCCGAAAGAAGAACACGTCAAATGCTAAGACCAATTATTGTTTTACATGTGTCATCTGTGGGTCCCTTTTTTAAAATTAATTTATCAAAATTTCGTTTTTATTTTACTTCTTTCACTATTTCTTCTACATATTTTAGTGCTGACATCGGGAAAAAATTTCAGCCATCACTAGACCGACTCAATAAGCCATGAACTTCCATAAAATTCCTTCCATCTTTAACTTCTAACAATATTCATAAAATTATTCCCCAAGTCAAAGAGTCGATGGGCCACCCACTAAAATTCGGTCAAGGCAACAAAAGAGCTGGCGGAGCTATGTCAAAGAAGGATACGAATGGTGAAATCAGAAAGAGATAAGAAGTCGGATAGCATGAGTAGAATTTTTCAACCAAAATTCGTCAATTTTTCGATAGTCTTTCTCTTGCTGTCTTTCAATTTGAGATCGATACAAAAAGGGAAGAGGGAGTTAATGTGAAAGAAAGGATTGATAATATTTTTTGATAAAATCTATTATTTTTTTTTGTTTCTCACTATTGCTGGTTTTTGGAACAAAAAGAGGAAGAAGCAAGGTAAGATTGGAGTGGGGATAAAGAAAAGAAAATGGGAGGTGGGGGGAGGTGCAGACGTCAATGGGGAAAGGGGAAAAGAAAGAGAAAGGGGTGAGGGGAAATAATAGCCTATTTGGCCAAGCTTTTTTTGGCCAAAAATGCTTTTTTTTTTTGCCAAAAGTACTTTTGGCCAAAAATTGAGGTGTTTGGTCGAGTTTTTGGAAGGAAAAAAAAATGCTTTTGAGGAGAAACAGAAGCAGTTTTGGAGAAGCAGAAAAAAGTAGCTTCTCTCCAAAAGCACTTTTTTGAGAAGCACTTTTGAGAAAAATACACTTAGAAGCAGTTTTTTTAAAGCTTGGCCAAACACTAATTGCTACTCAGAAGTGCTTTTCAAACTAATTAGCCAAACACAAACTGCTTCTCACCAAAAGTACTTTTGAGAAAAGCACTTTTGAAAAAAGACACTTCTCAAAATAAGCTGATTTTTACAGCTTGGCCAAACGGGCTATAAGGGTATTACTTATTTTGGAGGGGGGCTTATTTTCTTTCTTTTTCATTTGTAATTTTCTTCTTCTGCCTTTACATTTTTTTAATCAAAATTATCATAGTCACGCGCTTAGTTTACGTGACTTGCACACACTTTGTCCACATCACCTCTGCCCCTGCCATATGTGCATGGTTAACGGTCAAATAGGTTTATTAGTTACCAGATATGTAAGTTTGAGTGTTCAAATGGGAACGATGTAAGTTCGTGTATCGGCTTTACAAATGAAAGCAAGTTTAAGTGGCAACGAGGCCATTTCGCCTTTTTAAATCTAATGCTATTTTTTATAATTATTTTAATACTACGTGCATTAACTATATATTATGTATGTATGTGTATATGTTCTATTTCTCTCTTATTCTTTATCGTCTATATAATAAAAGAGTTTTGATTATCACTAATAAAATATTTTTTAAATTATAATTTAAAAAATATTGCATTATTCTGTTTATAACATTCTTTATCGACTATATAGAGAAATGAACTTTTATCCTAGTTGGTTAATACTCCTTCCGTTTCATATTAGATGAGGTAGTTTAACTCGACACGGAGTTTAAGATAAAAGAAAATACTTTTGAAACTTGGGATCTTAAAAGCGTAAGGGATAAAAAGTTTGTGGGGCCATGACATTTGTGTGGCTATAAAAGCTTCTCATTAAGGTTAAATGGGTAAAATAAAAGAGTTTAAAGTTGAATATTTCCAAATTTAAAAATGTGTCATTTGTTTTGAAACAAACTAAAAAGGAAAGTACCTCACAAATTTGTTAGGCGAGGTTATATAGAGTATGCTGGGTTTGTCCAGCTAATTTTGTTCTTTTTGAGCTGTAAACCTGCTCACTTTTAATTTGGTATTGTACCAAAAAAAAAACATTTATAATATAAATAGATAACTTGTTATTAAATTTGGTATAAATCTAATTTACCGAAAAATACATAAACTTCAGTATAGTTGCGAATTTGAATTAATTAAATATGGGAGCTTTTGATACCAAATGCCTTAAAAACATTGCTGGGTAAATCAATTGCTTTACTCTTTCCCTTTCTCCCTCCCCCACAGTTATAGTTGTCTGTGCATCAACAAGACAGGAGCACATCCCAGAAAGCAAGGTGAAAAACAAATTATTCAAAACGTATTAACTGATACTCATGGAATTGCGTCAAAAGCAAGCAAGATAAAAATGAAGTACTTCAAATAGTACAGTGTCAATCATGACATTTTGTCAATTCTCATCGAACTACAATGTTTCATGCCTCAATAAATGAAAGGTAAACTTAGAGCATGTCTAGCGATGTATATAGGAATCAGGGGGCAATCCTTTGTGGGTCACGAGGGAAAAGTGATGTCTTGCGAATATTGTTGAGCGCGCAGAAAAGCATCACCACACGCTCCAGTCCGACTCCAAATCCACCGTGAGGAGGAGCACCATATCTTTAACATGCGAAAAAAATAGTCACTAAATTTCAGTTAACTGAGAATGAGCTTATCAAGTGTAATTAGGGCGGATGTCAAAATTTAGAGAACAAATAGAGCAGTTAGTTACAGCTTGAATTTACCAGATGACAACAATTCCAAGAAGTTTAGCAAAATAAGATTTAACTTGAGTTGACTAAACCAGTTATGAAAGAAATCTAATATTATGGGGAAAATTGATAAGCCAAGAGAAGTACCGGAAAGAATCAATATATGTTGATATTGTCTTCACATCAATTCCACATTCTTCGGCACGTTTTGCCAAGAACTCAGGTACATGGACACGCTGAGCTCCGGAGATAATTTCTTCTCCTGATAAAAGACAATGGAAAAATGTCATCAAACTCTCAAAGCACACTGCAAGTAGCTTGTGTTTTAGCAGGAAACCCATCTCCACATCAGAAATTGCAGTCATTTTCTTAATTTTCTAACTGAGGCTCATTTGGACAATATTTGGTTGAAGTAGATAAAACGACTATTTAAAGTTGAAATTGAAACAGAATATTTGGAAGTTGAAATTGTACTTGGACATAAAACTTCAATAGGAAAAGAAGCCAAAATTTTGTGAATGAAATTTCTCCTCATACAAGTTTTTCAGCTTCAATATTCTCTATTCAAGTTGAAGTTGAAATAAATAATGTACAGAATTGTAAAACAAACACTAAGTTGCAAATAATATTTCATTATTTGCAAATAATACGTACATCCAAACACCTACTGAATTCACAAAACATAGAGCTAGACAGAAAGCATAAATTGAGGCACTTGCAGATAAGAAGCTAACAGAATCACGAAAAGGAAGCCCCACAAACAGTGTGTGGAGATGTCAGACGATGTGTGAAACAATTTCAATTAATAAATAAAAAGTACGGTTGATCATGCTCTGATACCATGTAGAAATTGTGTGATCATCTCATATAAAAGCTTCAGTTGTTAGTCAAAGCACACTTTTATTTATTCAATTATGTCCTCAATAAAGAATTCCTACCTGACAAGAGGTCAATAACACACTCAGAAAAGAGAGGAATATTTACTGAGTGACATGTAATTGCATCTCAATTTGCCAAGGAAAACAAAATGTAAACTATAACCAACAAAATAGAAATGGAATAAAGAAAGCTCATCCTGCCAACATAAAGAACTAGAGAAAAACTGGAAATGTGAGATCTGTTTCCATTTTTAGGAAAGAAGAAGATAAAACACACCATACCAAACTAGATTGTTTTTGGAAGGAAAAAAGAATTCATCTTGGCAAAATACTGAAATAAAAAAGTTAACATACCTCTAATGAAGACATCAAAAGAATTACTGTAAGCTGGATTATCATAACATGGCATAGTATAGAATGGACGAACTGCCAAGGGATATTTGTGAAGTATATAAAAATCAGTTCCATACCTAGAACAACAAGGAAAAACAGAAAATTAGACCAATACCATCACGAATATCATGCAGAGAATTAAGAACAGAAAAAAGGTGAAGAAGGAGGTTTAGGTTTTGGGAGATGGAAATGATAAATACTTCTTTGCAACAAGCTGGCCCAGCTTTCTTTCTGATTCTGTATTCAGGTCCCCAAAAGGATCAACTTCAATACCAGCTTCCTGTAATAGCAGAACATCATTAAAAGGTTAAGTAATAACTAATAAATACTCTTGATTGCATGCCTGAGGCATAAGCAGACATGAGATCTCGTGAAGCTTCTTCAGTTCCAGTTCAACCGAATATCCAAAAGAAAGGAAAGCAAAGAATACAAAAGTTCAATATTCACTTATGTGATAGGATTTCTCTATGCAGTATGCACAAGCTCCTAACACTGGCTAGGTGATTGAACTTTCTCTTTTCATATGACTAATCATTCAACTTCTTACTGATGAACACAGAAACACAGCGAATAATGAAATCCTAACCCTTTAAAAGAAGCACCAAGTGATGTTATACTGAACCACGTACAGGCTGTATGGCGTGACTACAATACTGTCAAAACATTTTTGGGAAAGCCACAATAGCATTCAATTGACTTAAGGTATCTTCCTTTACAAAAAGGGTTGAGGGAAGGAAAAGCTGCAATTCTTCCACTTTTACTAGAAGAATGCCCGAGTATTTGCACGCCCAGATCAGTATATCGGGGTTCCTTATCGTTCTTTCTTAATTTTCTTAGAGATTAGCAATTGGGGTTTCTTATTGTTTCAGGCCAATAAATCATGAATACTCCAATGATTTCTTCACATTATCGCTTGCCAGAGATAACTATTTTTTTTTCTGCCGATGCAACAGAAAATCAATATCAAAATTGAAGGATAGCAATCTAAGATATCCAAATACACCTTGCGAAGAGCAAGAATTTCTTAGTTGAAGATGTACCAACTTTTAGTTCTTCAGCCAGAACCCTAAATTCTGTGGATTAACTGTCCTCACACATTTGTTACACTAACTTGGGGGTTGTTACTTCTTTTACCAGAACCCCAAACTGTATGGTGAATTAACTGTCATCTACGTATTTATTACACCCTTAAAAGAAGGATAGTTACATTGAAGAGACAATGCATGTCAATCAAATTTAAAGTAACATGTATGGTTTACTCAACAGCATCCCTACTTACAAGTTATCAGTTCATACTGCAAAATTAGCGGTCATAATATTTTCCAAATGCAGCAGTAGTTTCCTGCTAGGAGGAAGAGGATGGTCCATTCAAAATCCTCATCGACTAGAAAATGGACCTATACCTCTATAATAGAGGGAACAAGGAATGGGAGGATAGGGAACTAAGAAAGCACAAGCACCTTCTTCTTGGTGGTTATTTAAGTTACTCGGACTTGAAACAGGTGCCCGATACAGGTGCGTATCTAGAGGTCGGATCCGTCATGATCTAAATATTAAAATACAGGGGTACGGATCCATGTATAGATACGGGTGCACGGATTCGGCTAAAAATAATTCAAATATCAAATATCTAAACAGTTATAAAAAAATGTCTAAATTATTAGACATCATGTGAAAAATTACAATGTATATTCCAAGGAGGAGAAATAATGATCAAGAGGAGATCCGAGGAGATATAGGGAAAAGGACTGGCATAAAAATTTCATATACAAGGTATTCCATTTTTTTCAATTTCACCCTAGCTTTTATTTTGATTTTAGAAATCATTGTATCTATCCCGAGTTTCTTCATTAATTTTGGTCAAAATACCCAAAATCAGTTGACCAGATCCGGTACGGATCCCCCCCCCCCCCAACACACACCCATGTTGTGTCGACATGGTTGCACCGAAAGTAAAGAGTCCGAACAACTTAGGTGGTTATGGAGATAGGAAGCAGACATGGACAAGCGATCCACCCACAACTACTTGCAATTCATTATAGTAGCTAACAAGCAAATATGGAGCTTATGAAATTTAAAGCAAACAAATGTTCAATAGACGAGGCTGAAAAGGACAGAATTTTTCAAGGCAAAACCAAAGAGATACATTCTCCTTTTGAAGAAAAATTTTCCTACATCCGCAAATGTCAATGAGTTGCAGGGAAAAAAGGAAATAGACAGAATATCATCTCCTTCTCCACTGTGAAGTTTCCTAGATTCTCTGGAACTATGTTTTCCCCATTATGACAATATGACATGCAATTGACATGGGAACTAAGTGCATGCAGGTGTATCCAAGTATTTACTTTAAACTTTCTAACTCTTTCTTAGTGATAGTCCATTGTCCATAGCTTTAATCTGAGGATTCTATGCAATTTCCTACTTTATTTTGCTACTGCACCTCTGGTGCACAAACTCTTCATCTAGAGGACCTTTAGCACCAAAACAATAATAATAGCATGCTTGACTGTTGTCTTAAACATTACATCACTGGTCAAAAGTAAATATCCTTCGCATTGCCAGACAACCAATTTCTGCAACAAACATTTACCTTCAACATTTGAACTCCCTCTTCAAATGTAAGCCGTAAGGTCTTTTTATCTCCCCGAAAATACTGCATTTTCAATAATAAGTAGTTAGTCCCTCTGAAGAAAGTGATAGTGAAATAAGATAACTGAAAGCTAACGGAAGAAAGTCCCTTTCGCCACAAATAAACAAGGGAATTCCATTGCACACTCCTATTTGTGGAAGCTTAACTAACCATAAGCAGCATAATAATCATTCAAATCCATCTCAATTACCTTCAAAGGTTCAAAAGGATATTGCCTTCCAATGGCTTCCAGTTCCTTTTTGCATTTGTCATTCAAACTATCAAATATTGTCACAAATAAGCGGTCAACAATATCCATGACCTGCACAAGTAAAAATTAAGGTCAAGCTACTAGCAACTTTAGAACATATAAATCCAGAACATCATACCTCTGAATAGTGCTCTTTAATCTCCATTTCGACATCAAGACCTGTAAACTCACACAGATGTCTGTGTGTGAAAGAATCTTCTGCTCTAAAGACGGGACCAATTTCAAACACACGGCCAAAATCACCACATATTGCCATTTGTTTGTGAAGCTGAGGTGACTGTGCCAGACATGCAGGTTGCCCTTTGTAATCCAGTCTGAATACAGCCGAACCACCTTCACTAGACCCTCCAATCAATTTTGGGGTATGGATTCCAACAAAACCTTCAGACAGCAAAAACTGCCTAAATATCTGCGCTTCCGCAGGAGAGAGATTAGCTCTTCATGCTATGTTTGGTGATGGACTCAACATAAATGTACAAAATAATCTACTGAACTACTTTGCTTTATTTATCAAGTGTTTCTCTATTAACTCCAGAAAGGAGCTGAAATCAAGTCTTACAGCAGTTTCTAAATGCAATTATAGAGGTTCTGACTTGCTTATATCCAAAGAATATTAGAAAGATGATCAAAATGTACAGACGAAGGAAATTCGAACTGGAGCCCATTGTCTCCAGAAGAAATTACAGAGAAAATATTTTTGAATAGAATGGAGAGAGGTTCGTAAAAAACCTACATATTTTTTTGTAGATCCAACTCAAAGAAAAAATTAGGTTACTAGTTTTCAATCTCAAATTATCATAAGACCTTTAAAAAGAAGCAAAACATGAGAATATGTAAAAAAGGGCGTGACACAAGCAAGCACAAAACAAATTAGTCATATAAACAGAATCGGAAGCGTGTGAGTGTCCCTTTTTTTTGTTGGATATGTGTGGATGTCAATACAGGATAACGTTTTCCTCTTTTTCTAAGGAAATAAACACAAAAGGATTCCGTAACGAACATTTTCAACTTGACATTGGATGCGGAAGATCCCTTGATTTGCAGGTGTGCGCATATCTAGAATTCTGTAGTTCAAACGAGTATCCTGATTTACACGAACAAGCTGCTCTCCTTTCTGCATTTCATATAGAGAAGTTAGCAGAAAATAATTCCACTATACACACAGACTGTCTTCCATTTTTAGAATTTGTTGCATGCTAAAATATACTAATGACCTTTTCCGAACAAGATCTTTCTAAAAGACATGAATGGTGAAAGTTCATTAACCAAACATGACACATTACAGGAGAAAAAGAACATAATACCTCTAAAGCTTGTTCTATCTCCACATCGCTTCTAGCAGCATCCTCGATATTAATTGGCAATGTTGGCACAGCCTTGTTGACACAATAAAGTTTGCTTATCTGAACTTCCACCTAGAACAACCACAGAAGTTATAATAAGTTGAGAACCATAAAACAACGATGAACATATATAAAAATTAAAAGACTTCGTGCATCACAACATTAAGAATTTCCTATTGTTTAGACAATATACCAGAAATTGTAAGCTAAGAACATAAAAAGATAGAACTATGATTTACCTACTTAAATTGGACACTGTTCAAATTCAAAAATCAAATTAAGCATATGACTCCCTCTTATCCCAAAATAGTTGTCTAACCTTCCGAAAGATACACTAGTCCATTTGTTATAGAGGAACTTTTTTCTCCATGGGAAATGGTTTTCGTGGAAAATATTTTACCTTGTGAAGCCTGTTTTCTCGAAGATTTTCTATTGTTTGGTTGGGTATTAAAGAAATGTAATATATGGTAATCCTACAAGGAGTAGAAAATGTACTCTATAGAGATAGTTTTGATGATATTTATAAGTATTAAAAGCTCACATCAATAATTATGCGGAGTTGTGAAAACATGACATATCTGGAGCCCTTTAGTGTTGTTAGAGATTTATATGCTTGACGGAAATATAGAGAGCTTCTAGTACATTTTATTTTTATTTTTATTTTGTAAACTATTTGTCTGAAATGAATTTAAATGGAGAAACATGGACGGTAAGTATTCATATAGCCCATCCCTACTTGTTTGCAACTGAGCTGAAGTTGTAGTTGTATTACGAGTTGAGAACATAGCTGAGATGTTCAATGAATCAAATTTTATGCAGTTAAGAATTGAGCCATGACGTCCGCAAGTGTTCCCTATTGGTGAAAAATAGTCTGTGGAGCAAGTAGCAAAACACTGCACAATAATATGAAGGAAAATATTTTCGAGATACCAAACACACCTAAGTGCTCAACTTTAACTTACTATGGTCAAAAACATGAATTAAATCTATTTCGATTCAGTTCAAAAAGGGGTCAAATTTACCATCCGTAAACAAAAAGAACAAACATAATGCAACATATACACATGTACTGTACATACCTGTTGTTGAGTGGCACCCGTAATTGGCTTCTCCGGGACAGTAACAACACCTTCAACATCAACAATGGACTCTTTGCTCAGACTTGTTGCGAATTTCACCATCTGCGCACTCACCAACTCTGGCTTTACCGTCAACACGCACTGCACTGTGAAACCTCGTTCCCTCACGACAACGAAAGCTATCTTCTTCCCAACGGGACGGATCGTCTGAACCCTACCCCGAATCAGGACCACCTGGTCCCTCATTACCGGAGCAAGTAACTCGACTTTGGTCCATTGGCGACCCGACACCACCTTGGATTGCAGGTCGTTGAGCAGAACGTCGCCGTAGTTGACGGCAAGCGGGTCCGGTCCTTCGTCAACGGAGACAGCGGATAAGGCAGTGGTGGCAGCAGCTGCAGCAGCCTCTTGACGTTTGCGCTGGCGTTCGAGCTTTGCGGCTTCTTTTTTGGAGAGTTTTTTACCTTGATTGCTGCTTTCTTCTGAATCCGAGGCCATCGTTGATTGAGATTTCTGTTAGGTTTTCGCACAAAGCTGCAGTGGTTTCTTGATTTGCTATGAATAGAGAGCAAAAGAAAGTTGTAGTATATAATAAGAAGTGGATGCTGCTGATTATTTGTATGGTTACACTTCGGATTCTTTAGCCATCGACTCGATGGCGGCTCTAGGTAAGGCAAGTGTAGACCTTCCCTTAGGCCCCAAATATTTAAGGCCCGAAAATACGAAATATTATTATATTATTATTTAATATATACTCCATAATTTATATTTATATAATTATTAATAAAAAATTTTAAATTTTAATAATTTTTAATATTTGGTAGATGTAAGATCGAGTGAGTTAATTGGATGAATTTTTCTCACTAAATTAAATAATATATTTACCTTCTCATCAATTTTATTTTTCTTCCTTTATGTATAGTTTTTTTTCATGGTTCTCGCGATTTTACTTTCTAATTTCAACTCAAATTCTCTAAATTAACTATTCTTTTTGTCACATTTGATTGATCCATACACCAAAAAGCAAGTTATTTTGTGTCTCGTCTATTTTAACTAAGAAATCCCCGAGACAAATGTCGCAAGGTTCAAAACACAATGGATGATGGTCTCACTCTTTACCATTTTCACTTAAGGAAAGAATTCAATACTAGTCACAATAAGAATAGCTCCACCTTGTCTCACCACATGCGCAAAACACATACATATAGCCCGCCTTGTCATGACGCATGTGCAACATCAATAGTAACAATAGCACGGCAGAAATCTCATGCAAACACCCGAACAGATCCTCCCAGCCATCTCACGTATCAAGAACACAACCATACAATAGAATGATCTTCACAATATGTACCCTTATTCCACGATACTTCGTCTAAACAGTTTCAATACCACAATTGCATATAACCCTCGACTCAACAAACTGAGTGCACCACCACCACCACCACCAACAACAACAACAACAACAATACACGAGAATACGACAAGTAAATCAACTCAAGAGGTTTAGAATGCAAAGAAACTGTAGAACAGGCTCACAAAGAATAAACACAATAAAGAATACTAGTCACAATAAGAATAGCTCAACAAGGGAGAATTAATATGTAACAATAACTTCACAAAGGAACAATTCGACAACAAGGGAGATAACATGATTCATTAATTTCAAATAAGGATGAGGCGACTATGATAAAGGATAACTAACTTCATTTAGGTTTGGGAAAATTACGGAAGCAATACAACAACTTAATTAAGGATAAGCAACGGAAAAGATAGCATGGTAATTGAAGAGGCAACAACTCAATTAAGGCACACGAGAATCAAAGAGGCAATAAGAGTGGAACATGAAACACTTAATTTCAATTAAAACACGTGGAGGTGAAACTAGTAAATGGGGGACTTAACATAAGAAAACAACTTCATACCTAATGAACATAAGAACCTAAGAACCCTAGAAGGTTAACTTTCCATAAATAAGCCCGAGTATGTACTCGTCACCTCGCGTACACGGACTTTACATGATACAATTAGCACAAAAGACTCAAATCCTAAGGGGTATTTCCCCCCATACGAAGTTAGGCAAAATACTTACCTCAAATAAGATAGACCATTACTCTAATATGAACTTCTCGAGTGAAATAACCTATGGCGACTCAAATATAGCCAAAATAACTTCAAAGTTTAAATAAAACTCATAAGAAACTATTCTGGATAATAAAGCTTCAATCTTTATCAAAAACTAAAAATCAACCCAAAAGTTGACTCCCAGGCCGGCACCTCGAAACCCGACAAATTTCACAAAACCCGAACATTCATTCCGATACGAGTTCAACCATACCAAAATTATCAAATTAAGATACCAATTCGTCCCTCAAATCATCATTTTACACTTTGAAAGTTTTCTTCAAAAATTCCCATTTTTCCTCAACTCAAAACACTAATTTAATGATAAAAATATAGATAAAATCATGGAATACAATAAATTCTAGGTGAAGAACACTTACCCTAATGATTTGCTTGAAAAACCCACGAAGAATCACTCAAAATCGAGCTCTACAAGTCCAAAAATGTTTAAAATGCCTAACCCTCGGAATGGAGTACTTTTATATTCTGCCCGGTGATTAATACATCGCGATTGCGGAATTTCAACTGTGATCGTGAAGAGGAAATGACCATCGTCCAAAAATTAATGCTAGGCAATCGTGTACAGAAGAGTGCGATCGCGAAGAGGGAAAGCATCTGGTGCCAAAGGACTGCACTACGCGACCGCGAAAGGGAGAATGCGATCCCGAAAGGGAACCAGCTGGGGTTGTGCTACACGAACGCGTACGGTTAAACGCGAACACATTGAAGGGAGATGCACAACTACGCGATCGTGGACGGAGGCATGCAAACGCGAAGAATTAATATTATCTGCCTCCAAAAATACACTACGTGACCACGGAGCGATCGAAATGAAGGAAACTAGCAACCACCAGAACAACAATCCAAAATCATGGAGAAAAGGTTCGTAGCCCATCCGAAACACATCCGAGGCCCCCTGGACCCCGTCTAAGCACACCAACAAGTTCCATAATCTAACACGGACTCGCTCGAGGCCTCAAATCACATCAAATAACATCGACACTACGAATCGCACCATGAATCAAACTCATGAACTTTCAAATCTTCCAACTTCTAAAACTCGCGCCGAAATCTATCAAATCAACCCAGAATGACATCATATTTTGCAGGCAAGTCCCAAATGACATAACGGAGCTATTCCAACCCTCAAAATTGCATTCCGACCCCAATATCACCAAAGTCAACTCTTGGTCAAACCTTTCAACTTTTCAAAACTTCAATTTTTCTAACTTCCACCGAAATGCTTCAAATTACCCTACGGACCTCCAAATCCAAATCCGGATGCACACCTAAGTCCAAAATCACCATACAAAGCTGTTGGAATCTTGAAAACACCATTTCGGAGTCGTTTTCTCAAAGTCAAAACTCCCGTCAACTCTTACCGCTTAAGCTTCTAAAATAGAATCCTTCTTCCAAATTAACTCCGAATCATTCGATAATTGAACTCGGCCACTCCCGTAGGTCAGAACACATAATACGAAGCTGCTCAAGACCTTAAGATGCCAAACGGGACGTAAATTCTCAAAACGATCAACTAGGTCGTTACATCATCCCCCTCTTAAACAAACGTTCATCCTCGAACGTGCCAAGAATCATCCACAAGTCATCAAACCACTGAATGCATTCATCCTACATATACCCATAGGTGACCCCACGTCATCCCAATCTATATAAGCCCGACGTCACCACCTCAACTGACATTTATCCCTTCCACCAATACCAATAAGCCTTAGAACAAGAATTTTCACCATTTGTCCATCTCTTAAAGTCCCGATTCCTACATCCACACCCGGTATCAGCCTCAACCAGCCGCAACAACTTATACATACACCCACAAAGTACAACCACACAACGTGACACATCACACATAGGCCCACAATAACATTTGTGATCACAATAGTTGTTCGTAATCAAATCCTGCACCGGCAATTAGCCTCATATCCATTAAAACCCTATTTCAAACCTCCACAACAATAACAACGATGCAAGAAACATGAAGACCTCATAACTATTCATCTGAATCAACAAGTCACAACTAACACTATCGGGCACACACTGCGCAAGCTAAAACTCAATAAGCACAGCACGAAAATGAGTGAATATGTAAGGAGAAACACATAAGAGAAATATCAAACAAGCTCGACAGGAACAACTCCCTATCTTACCATTATACGAATCAATTTACTAGGAAGAATCAAGGTATATAAACAAATCACAAGGATCTCATCCCCATACAACTTCCGCCGCGGCACGTAGTCCGGTTCAAACACATCAAATCACATAAAATTGTGGGGTTCTCACCCTCAACTCTGAATCACAAGTAGAATACACATCATAACAATTGAAACCTTCCACTAATTCAACTCCGCCAAAAAAATCACAACACTTACTGAACTCTGATTTCGGTAGAGCATCTAAATCACAAGCCGTAACCAAATTACTTAGAAATCACATCAAAACCTACCGTAATGGACAATTGGAATTCACTTCTAGTCTCGTAACTCTCAATAATGAATAAAAAATAAAATGATAGACACGGGCTACCACTTATAGAATCTCCCAACAGGGGCAAACATATAAGTAGAGTACTAAATCATAGAACTCACCCACATGTGAAGCAAAATAGGAGAACTCACCCTGATAAGCAGAACCAAAATATGATGCGAATGGTGATCCTCTATACCAAATAAAAAGCATACCTGTATGACACCATTTGGTGTAGTGCCTGGTACCTACTATAGCAATCACATCAACGTGTCGGGTCTCCCCCTCTTGGGCACCCTCTACCTTCTTAAATAACCCGTTGTCACACATCTGTCTGGAGTCCGGGACAATCTCTCACCATATGGCTGGTATCTCCACACTCGAAGCAACCTCTCGGCTAATGTGGTTGTGGAAATTGTGTGGTACGGGTACTCTAAGACCCAGGAGCACCTGAAATACCGCGCGAAGCCTGAAGTGCAAACTGAATTGGCTGGCCCACAAAACCTCTACCATGTCGTACCCGACATCCAAAATAAGGACCAGTAGATCTCTCCGGTCTGCGAGGCCTCTTAGTCTCCATGTTCTCTCTCTCCTGACCTCGCTTGCCCTCTCTCTCCTGGCCCCACCTGTCCTCTCTCTCCTGGTCCAACATGCCCTCTAATCAGTGAGCGATCTTACCACCTGTTGAAATGAAAAATCTAACTCCAACTCCCGAGCCATGACCGAATATCATGCCTGAGCCCCTTAAAGAATCTACAAACATGCTCTCTAACTGTAGCAACCAAAGCAGGTGCATGTCTGGCCAAATCACTGAATCTAACGGCATACTCTAACACTCACATAGTGACCTGGCGCAGCTGCTCAAACTCTGCGTGCCATGCATCCCGAAGGGACTGAGGAACAAACTCTCTCAAGAACATCTCTGAAAATTGAATCCATGAAAATGAAGCTGCATTGGTCGGGCTACCCAGCTCATACGCTCACCACCACTGATAAGCTGCTCCCTAAGGTGAAACGTAGTAAAAGCAACCCCACTCGTCTCCACAATACCCATAGTGCGGAGT